GTCCACGTGTTCAATGACTGACAATGGGATGCATTAGGATTAGCGTACGAGGACACTCGCACCAAGTAAATATCTATCTATTTGCACAAATAATGTCATATATTATATATAAATCGGTGAGGAACTTTTTTGTTGTTGTTAGATTGTATTAACATTGTAAAGGTCATATGGTGATTTTCAAGCTAAATACTGGTAAAGAAAGACCTCAGGTGTCCCTCAGTGCATTATTTTATGCACGAAGAAGTTCCAGAGTAGAACCACCGACGTTTCGAAATCTAGCTCGATAGCTTCTTGACATAAAAGGATCCGTAAACCTTAGCGAAGAGATGCATAAAAAGAATTAAATCTTTATCTTTCTGTACAACATAAAGTTATATAGACAAACATGTATATGACCCATATTGAAACAACATCATGTAGAAGTCATTAAAACAAACTTTCAGACCAATTTCAATGATATTTAGATCAAAATGTTTCCACTAGAGTATGAACAAGAATTTTCTATGTTTAGCTCCTTTGACCTGTGTTTTCATCTCCAATTACTCATTTTAGAACTCATTACCTAGAAAAGCATAAGTTTGATGAAAATTGAGTCGAAATTGTGACCACTAGAGTGTTAACTAGATTACTTTCATATTTGAGCGGTCTGATTTAGTTTTTGACGCCAGGGACCTATATTCGAACTTGACCTTAAACTAATCAATACAAACTTTCAGGACAATTTCCAGGATATTTGGATCAAAACAGTAGCAACTAGAGTGTTAACAAGACTTTTCTATTTTTAGCTCCTGTGACCTAGTTTTCATCCGGAATGACCAATGTACGAACTCGTCCGAGCAATAACCTAGACAAGCATCTTTACAAAGTTTGATGGTGATTTAGACAAAAATGTGAACACTAAATTGTTTACAAGGTTTTCTATCTTAGGGCGTTGTAACCTGTTTTTTTTTATCCCAAGGTGACCCATATTCAAACTTAACCTAGAAATCATCAAAATAAACTTTCAGATCAATTTTCAGGATAATTGGATTACAACAGAAGCCACAAGAGTAGTTTTTCAAGATTTTTTTTTATTTTTAGCTCATGTGACCTAGTTTTTCATTCGAGATTACACATGTTCAAACTTATCCGAGAAATTACCTAGAAAAGCATCCTGTCAAAGTTTGATGACAATTGTGTCTAAAATGTGACCAATAGAGTGTTAATAAGGTTTTTCCATATTTGTGCGGTGTGACCTAGGTTTTGACCCCAGGTGACCCATATTCAAAGATGATCTAACAATCATCAAAACAAAATTTCCAGACTAATTTCCAGGATATTTGGATCAAAACAGTAGCCACTAGAGTGTTTACAAGATTTTTCTATTTTTAGCTCCTGTGACCTAGTTTTTCATCCAAGATGACCAATGTTCGAATTCACCCGAGCATTTATCTAGACAAGCATCCTGACAAAGTTTGATTGCGATTGATGCTACAGTGTTAATATGCAAATGTGGGCGAACGACGGAGATTCAACGTCCCTAAAAGCTCACCCTGAGCAAGCCTAGTTGAGCTAAGGAAGATCGAATACTTAGAAGTATTTTATCCAGATTTATTAGATAGTACAGGTATATACACAATAGAAGATAGCAAGCACTTAACAATTACAAATCTGATTACAAAACACTATTTTAAACGTTTGTTCTACATAACAAGCAATATATTTTAAAAATAAAAGTTTGAAAAAGAAATCTCCCAAGGCATCAATATCCAAAATAAGAATTATCGTTACATAAAAAGCAATAAAATATTTTCAAAACACACGTATTTATTTTATGTTAAAGGCCATTTTCAAATTTAAACTAATATCAGAAAACTTTTAGTTAGAATTTTCAATTACATGTTTTTATTAAGTACACATGTTTATAATGTACCTTTAAATGATATATTTTTAAATATTGAAACAAATAAAATTCGTATTTATTTAAGTTTTTCGTATCTTAACTGTAAATAATCATATTTAATGCAGTGAAATATATTTCCCGTTTTTTATCACTAGTGTCCTACCGGACTATTTTTTTCAAATACACAAAGTATATAATAAGTGGATGTCTTTCCAATTGTTATGTCAAAAATATAAAAATGTATATAATTAACAGAAAAATCATTTTGTTCCATTAATAAAGGCGTGGTATGAAAACTCATTTTCACTCGAGGCTACTGCCATTCATTTAATATTCATTTTCATACCACTCGATAAAAAATGAATACTGTATCTATACAATAAACTTGAATACCCCCTGAATATACAGTCGAACAAACATTAAAAAACACATTCATGTTGACATGTACTTAAAAATTACACATTGTATACATTCAATGTCATTAGCTAATTCATATCCAACATATCCAACATGATTAAAGGTTAAAAATCGTGACAAAATGGTAAATGGTAGTATATTGGTACATTTACCCAGCAATCTAAAAGCATAAAAGCTGCATTAAATAATTCATGATTCATGTATTAGATGCTATTGGCAATCAAACAGCAATATATTTGATGTTATAAATATATAAATGTTCCAAACGATAAAGTTGAATGGGAACCTAAGGTCCATCAAAAAGTGTCCGTTTCGTTTAAGACGCCTTCATCATTATCAAGAAGTCGTTATTACTGCTTGTTTTTTTTTTTTTTAAATATCTTTTTAGCATGTTTAAATACACTAAATGAAGTTACAGACAATAAGGATAAGAAATAAGAATCAATACTAAAAAAGCAACACAAGTATATTCATCATCATTCTACAATACACATCTGACTGAAAATATTTATTTTATGGCAAAAGCTAATTAGCCAATGATTTCATAAATCATGGCTATACAGACTTGTTTATTGTCTTATAACATTCAATAAAGAAAATCAACAGTTCTTTTTGTAACTTCGCCAGTTACTTTGTCAACAACTTATAACGACTTGTCAGGAATAGGAACAGTGAACGTGCCAATTTTTCTGCATTCTGGATCAGTAACAAAAACTGGGTTGGGGTTTGGAGAATCATATATCTTTATTCTTATTTTAGTTTGTGTATCATAGAGAGGGGAACACGTAGCCTCTTTTTGTTCTTCGCCAAGTTGAATAGACTGATTTATTCTAGCATGAATTTTGAAAATATTATAGCATCTCATCGCACCATTTTTGTCAAGTTTTGTGATGGTGTTCGGATGTTTTCATTTATCAGTGGTACAATGAGAGACTCTTTCGCTGTATGTTAATTTACAAACTCTCTCGGCAATAGTTTTCGGGTTGTAACCAAATATTACCGCTCCTTTTAAAACAGCCAAACTAGCCTCGTCTGGAATGATGGTTTTCATGTCTAGAAAATGATCTTGAACATGTTCCTGCAGCATTGGAGACTCAGACAAGCCACCAACCATGACATTTGCCGAGCAATTTGTAACTTGTGGATCTTCCAGAAGTGTTTCCCCGTGATTGAAGATACTCTGAAGTGGAATTGCGAAGAAGCTTTTCATCCTAATTTTGTCACCAGTTAGGACCAACTTGTCTCTAAACTTTGATTTTGCGACACACTCTTTTATAGGTGTACCACTTGCTTCGCTTGCTATTTCAACAAGTGAAATTGGAATCCTCATAGTGATTTTTTCAGTCTTTTCTGGATCAATATCTCTCTATTTTATTTTAAAATCTCTAAACATATCTATGTAGTCATCCATGTGATTTTGTTAAATTTTGTCACCCCTCTTGGACCTTTTAGTGAAGTAATATACATTTTATATCACATATAAAGGGCCATAAATGTACATGCACAATTAAAGAAAGCGAGCACTTAACAGCTGTAAATCTGATTAATAACAATACTTGTATTACTTGTTTTTCAAAACCGAAATAGAATGTACCTCTTAGATATAAAACAATAAAATATTTTGTCAACATACATGTATCTTTTTTATATAAAAAGCAATTTTCAAATACATATACATATAAAAAAACTTAAATTTAGTGTTGTTAGTTACGTGCAATTATTAAGTATATTGTACGTATGTTTATAATATACTTTTAAATGAAATATTCAGGAATATTAATGAAATAAAACACGTATTTAAGTTTCTCTTTTTTAGTGGAAACAATAAATGTTCATTGGAGTGAAACATATTTCCTTATTTTCACTGGTATCATTCCGGGGTGGGGACTTCATTCTTCAAAATTCAGATAAAACACAAGATGTAAGGGGAAGTCTTTTCAATTGTAATGTCAAAATATGTATAAAATAAACTGAATATTCAAATATTTCTGTAAATATCGGATTTGTTTTTATCTTGTGGTATGAAAATTGTCATAGCTTACTTGTGTCTACTGCCACTCGTTAAAAATAAAATTAATCCTGTATTTATAGAAAAAAAACTTGGTCATCCTCGATATATATACAGTGGAAATATCTTTTTACTACCAACATTAAACAACCCTTTCATGTCGACATTTAGATAAAAATTACACAATGTATACATTCGATGTCATTGGCTAATTTATATACTACATGATTATTACAGGTTTCAAAGCATGATTAAATGTGTTAAATGTTAGTATATTGGTACAGTTTGTTTTATAAATACTCAGCAATCTAAAAGCATATTTGAAAATTGAGCTAATCAAATTATGATTACTGTATTAGATGCAATTGGAAATTTATCTTACCAAACAGCAATATCTTTGATATTATAAACATACAAATTTTCCAGATCATAAAGTAATATTGGAACTTAAAGTCAATCAAAAAGTGTCCGTTCCGTTTAAGACTTACAATAAGTCGCTGTTATTACTGCTTGTTTTTTATATATCATTTCAGCATGTGTCAAAACATTATATTCAATGACAGATAAAAAGAATAAGAATTAATGATAAGAATAACAAAACATGCATGATCATCATCATTTACAATAAACATCTGCTTGAAAATATTTTTTTAAAGCAAATCTTATACACACTCTTGTATTGTTTTGAAAAATTCAACCAAGGAAATCAACTGTTCTTTTTGTAACTTTGCCAGTCGCTTTGTCAACAACTTTTACTTCAATCTCTGTGCCTCCAAATAAGAATGTGGTTCCAAATTTTCTTGCTTTGCCTAAAGACGTGTCGGGAATCGGGATACTGAACGAACCAATTTTGCTACAATCTGGATCAGTAACGAAAACAGGGGTTGGTTTCGAAGAAGCATATATCTCAAAACCCACTGATGTTTGTGTGTCATAGAGAGGACTTGAAATACGCTCTAATTGTTCTTCACCAAGTTTAACAGATTGACCTATCTTTACATGAATCCTAAAAATATCAAAGCATCTCATGTTACCGTTATCGTCAAGTTTTGTATTTAACCTTGAATGAGTGCAGTTATTCGTGGTCAGATGAGAGATTCTTTCGCCGTAAGTATATTTACCAACTCTCTCAGCAATAGATGTCGGGTTGTGACCAAATATAACAGCTCCTTTTAACACAGCCAAACCGGCCTCTTCTGGAATGATGATCTTCATGTCTGGAAAGTGATCTTGAACATGTTCCTGCAGCTTCGGAGACTCAGAAAAGCCACCAACCATGACAATTGCCGAGCAATTTGTAACTTTTGGCTCTGCCAGAAGTGTTTCCACGTGATCGAGTATACTCTGAAGTGGAATTCCGAAGAAACCTTTCATAACATCAGCATCCATCCTAATTTTGTCACCAGTTAGAACTAACTGTTCTCTGTACCTTGATTTTAGAATACACTCTTTCAAATGTCTACCATTTGTTTCGTTTGCCATCTCAACAAGTTAAATAGGAATCCTCATAGTGATTCTTTCAGTCTTTCCTGGAGCAATATCTCTCTTTTTGATTTCAAAATCTCGAAACATTTCAATGTAATCTTCCATGTGATCTTCTTTGAATTTTGTCATCCCTCTTGGACCTTTTAGTGAAGTAAAAGTGTTTTTTTTTCAGAATGATATTATACATTTTTTATCATATATATATAACTACAAATATGACCCGAAAGATCCTTACAACAAACAAATATGACCATGAATATCGTCGATAACGCAATGTCGTTACATTATTGCTGAACATATAATTCAATTCCGATATATGTAATAAAAAGGCCATTGGTCCTGAATTTTGCAAGTATTTGCATGTATTTTGCTGTTATAGATTTATTGTTTTTTTACTAGGACAGATCACTTCTTGTTTTGTTCATTCGTTATATACAAGTTCCATATATTTTGAAATCAACTTTACATTATCTTATGTTCCAAAGACAAAATAAATTCAAATAAAAATTAGGCAGTTCTTAAAATATCACAAGAGCAACAGTGATCACATAGCCAATTGCATGGTGTAGAAGGATACACAAAAATCATTAACAGGGCAAACACGATTTTTATCCAAGAGCCATAACTCACCAAAAATCATTCAACACAAAAACACGTGTAATGTGCGCGAGTTCTTGAGCTACTTAACAATCCTGTTAAGTTTCATTGAAATTGTATAAGTAGTATAAGAGGAGAATTCCGGACAAATTTTCAAAACACAAAGCATTCAAGGGTCATAACTACAAAGAAATATTGATTAAACAAGAGGGCCATGATGGCAACTGGATCGCTCCCCTGATCCTTCAACCGCATCCAAACAATGTCTTAGACAAGCATCCTGGCCAAGTTTGATGACAATGGAGTCAAAAATATGACCTCTAGAGTGTTAAAAAGGTTTTCCATATTTGGGCAATGTGGCCTTATTTTTGACTGGAGACGACCCATATTCGAACTTGACCTAGAACTCATCAAAACAACCTTTCTGACAAATTTCCAGGATATTTGTATCAACAGTGCAGCCACTAGTGTTATAAACATTTTTCAATTTTTATCTCCTGTGACCTAGATTTTGACCGGAAATGACCCATCTTCGAACTTGACATAGAAATCATTGAAACAAATAATATATGATAAACAAGATCAACAAGGAAAGGCGGCGTTCAATGAACGCAACCCCCATATGACCCAGCAACAAGAACCAGTGGCAAGGAGCCCAGGCGGACCCCAAACAAAAACAGGACAGGGCAAAGACAGAGCACGGACGGGTTAATCATTAAATGATAAATAATTTCTAACTGATTAGGAATTAATAGAAAAGAATATTATATCCACAAAGGGGATGGGGACAGGAGACCGGGGGAGGTGGGGGGGCGTTAATCAAGGAAATAAAAACTAGAGGCAATGGGGAAGATACTTACCCTGGACGAGAAAACAACAAGGGACACAAGCAAAAGTGTCACCAAAACAGTAAGAAACGACATAGACATACATCTGAGGAACACAGAGGGGCGCCGCCTTGGAACGGTCAGCAGCATAATAATGACTGCTGGGAGTTTAAACCGGTTAATGGTGCACCAAACCTCGCTCTTAGCCCCTACATGTTCCTATAAACGAGACAGTGTAAATAAAATGAATCCCCGCCAAGTGAAATTCTAACAGTTGTCATGGTTACAAAAGGTTAAATAAGTAAAACACTAAAATGATCATGTAGAAACATATAAAATTAACCCAATGACCATAACAAAAGTACTCACTGTCCTTAAGGAAGACAGAGCAACAAGAAAATCACCTACAAGGGCCCGACGAAGCAAGGCAGAAGACGAACATTAAGACAATTCAGTCCCAAAGGGCTTTACGAACTATCCATCATAGAGTCTCCCACTTGGTCCGTCAGATGTAATCAAAAGAGGAAAGCGTAGTGTCCAACTGTAAAAGGGTTGAACACTAAACATGCAGTATGTCTTAAAATAGTAGGGTCATAACCTCTTTTAATAAAACGTTTAATGATTTTAGTAAAAACAGCAGAAAAATTACCATGACCCAAAATCTTACGAAGTTTGTAAATCACATCGCCATAAAAACCAGGCTGGCTAATCCCTTGTCGCAGAAGAGTTTTTAAATCACTATTGAATTTAGAAATTAAATCAAAGTTACGATTGTAAAATTTAGTAAAATATTTCCGTAATTTATGATGTTGCATGGGGTACGTCTCCATCTAAATGTGGATAATTAACTATACAAAAGTCAAAGTCATCTCTTTTATCATAGATTTTCGTGTGAATAGAATTGTTGTTGATAGTAATATGAAGATCCAAAAATGATGTACTAAAATTTCAAGAGTTCGTTTTATTAAGTTGTAGTTCATGTGGATAAATGTCAGACACCATTTGATCAAAATAAGGATTATCTAAATTAAAAATATCATCAAGGTATCTGGAAGTATTATTAAATGCGACTATAACATCTTGTTGTTTATCTTCAGAGAGACTCAACATAAAGTCTCTTTCATAGCAGTACAAAAACAAATCGGCGACCAGGGGTGCACAATTAGCACCCATAGGAATTCCTATGATTGTTTAAATAGGGATATTTACCAAACCTGACATAAATATTGTCCAAAAGAAAAGAGAGTGCTCTACAAAACTTCGTCAACAGGTCCACATAGTATAATGTTTAACAAATACCGTTAGTAAAAAAGCTTTGTTAGAATTACATGCTAGAAAGGTAACTTTTTCCCGTGCAAAAGTTTTCTGAATTAGGGAATTAGTTTATCATTGATTAATTTATGTGGCAAAGTTGTATAAAGTGTTAGAAAATCGTATGTAACTGACAGTTGAAGCTTGAAAGTTCTTAAACTTGAATTTATCCAAGATTTCACCAGAATTTTTAATTGACCAAAAGAGATGTTTGCCTGTGTTTTCATAGACTTTATCACAATATCTAATTACATGTGTTTTAATGGCAGTCTACGCTCCCTTCGCAGCTTACTGAATACACTCCCGTTACTTCAGACCGCTGCTTTAAAACGCGTCGATTCATGATATTGACCTTTACAGTGAACTTTGAACGACCAATGAAAGTTTTTCCAAAATCCAAATCGCCCGAAAATCTTTATACGCATTTTCATTGGTTGAAACAGATGACGTGTGTACAAAATTATAAATAGACGGGTAATTCCTCAAATTTTGTAAACAAAATGGCGACTGTTAACAATTCAACTTTCGATAAGCTTGCAAAACGTTTCAATTATGGATCCATTAAACCGTTTCAAAAGGCAGTGGTACAATCTATCATTGAGCAGAACAATGACACTTTTGTGTGCAAAGACATGATCGGGAAAGTCTCTTGTTTTCAAGGGTTAACATATTTATATAGTGAACTTGGTGTTAAAGAAAACCCAATCGTTTTGGGATTTAGACAGATTTCTGCCACTAACATAGATAAGGATTCCAGCGAAAATGGTGATATTCGTAGAGGAAAATATCTGTATTCTGTTTGACGAAGTACACACTGTCATGGTATGTTTTTCATTGTTCTTTTCACTTTTGACTAGTAAGAAACATGCTTTTCATTAAATTCTATACGGTGCATAGAAAAACCGGAAAGCACCGGATAGCACCGAAAAACCGGAAAGCACTCAAATTTCTCATAAAAACATATGAAAACTTTATTTTATCGGTTTGAAAGTGTTACCAATCGATTTATTAGATCAAAATCTTTCAGACAAGTCATTTTTATAAATATATATTGATAATTATTACGAGTATTTAGGAAAATAGATATATCGAGTGCTTTCCGGTCCTGCTAAGATACATGTACATTACCGAATAGCAATATTGTTTGTCAAAGTTATACATGAAAACACTATTTTATTGGTTTGAAAGTGTTACCAATCGATTTATTATATCAAATTCTTTCAGACAACATGTTTTTATAATTATAATATGATTATTATTATTATGATTATTTAAGAAAATAGATATATCGAGTGCTTTCCGGTCCTGCTAAGATACATGTACATTACCGAATAGCAATATTGTTTATCAAAGTAATACATGAAAACTTTATTTTATTGGTTTGAAAGTGTTACCAATCGATTTATTAGATCAAAATCTGTTTATGAAGTCGTTTTAATAAATATTTTTTCATTATTATTACGAGTATTTAGGAAAATAGATATATCGAGTGCTTTCCGGTCCTGCTAAGTTACATGTACTTTACTGAATAGCAATATTGTTTATCCAAGTAATTCATGAAAACTGTATTTTTTTTAGTTTGAAAGTATTTTCAATCTATTTATTAGGTGAAGATCTGTATATCATGACGATTTTATAAATATTTAATGTCTAATTACGCGATTTTCAAAGTTGCTACAAATATTGATTGCTTTCCGGTAATGCTAAAGTACATCTAATTTACCGAATAGCACTCGAATATTTATATAATTCACACTAATCCTTCATATTAATTATGTGAAAGTGTTATAAATTGATTTATTAAGGGGAACTGATTTTATTTAAAAATATTATGATTAGTTACATGATTTTTCAATCTTGCTCATACCATATATCATTGTATCATATTCTAATATGTTATAGGTTGTGTGAAAGACAGAAAGATGATGTGTAAAATGTACAAAGAAGTTTCAAAGCATTGTCCATATTTTTTATTATTATATTGTTATATTATGTAAAATAAAGAAAAACTTATACATTTTCGGTCAGTTATGTCTTTATTTTGACCATATTATGTGAACCGAAAAGCAATGTGGTCATCAGTGGAGGACAGTAGTTGTTGTATTGTTTATCACATGTGCTAATCCATGCTGATTAAAGACCTTGTATATTGTAGCACCTAAAGGTGATGATTTAATCAAATTGTGTACAATTATGATAATTGAGAGTACCGACCTGCACATCAAAGTTGCATTAATCCTACATTAGAATGTAGTGATGATA